TATAAAAGCGTTGTATATTAAAAAGTTTTTTTTATATTATTTATTTTCTACTTTTTAGTCCTGTCTGAATAAAATTTTGCAATAGATATTAAAATAATTCAACGATATTAATAGAAAGGTGCACACACATGCATTTACATATGTATGTACATACAAACGAGCACCAATTAATTTTATTTAAAGAAATGGCGTGTCGTCTATTTCCGCCGATATGCGTGTATAAACCCTCCTCAAAGTCTAGCCAAAAAGCCAGCAACTCACACAACAGGTTCCCCAGAGCAATTCGCTCGAGAAAGTGGTACCCGGTACACGTAATACGCGGCACACAGCACAACAATCCGCCAAAACAGGCAACCCGGCCCAAAATTACCACCGTAGAAGGCAGAAACCCCGAGCGGCAGTGCAGGAGCCCAAGAATTACCCTTAAAACGGCCACAGGAGCTTAAAAAGACCAACAGGCCCCCAACTGGTCCGAAGGTATTTAGTTTCGGACTAGTCCCAAACTAATTCCCGGACTGGTTACCAACTGGCCCCACGAACTAGTTACCAACTGGTCCCAAAGTGGTTACCAACTGGTCTACCTATACCTCAAGTGGTCCACAAGTCACTTCACTTACAAAGCATTCGATTTAGTTGACAATAGTCAAACTAATTTTATTTAAAGAAATGGCGCGTCGTCTATTTCCGGTGTAGCAAACGTAGTACATAGGGCGACATCTAGATGTCATCTACCTCGCCCTATTCACTATGCTTTTTTATAGGAGCTTTTCAAAGCTTTGCTTTGGTGGCGGAACACAACATTGAAAGTTTCTGGATCCACAACATTGAAAGTTTCTGGAACACAACATTGCAAGTTGATAAAAGCGTTGTAAAATTGCATCTAAACAATCAGAGGTATGGAAGATATACTTTATATGGCACCAATCTAAGTGATTTTCACTGCTATGTGATCGGTATGTAAACCGGTAACACAATTTATTGGGTTTAGTTTCCTACATAAAAGAGATATATGGCAAAAACTGGTATCTGAACAATCAGTGCTATAGGAGATAAAGCTTATACAGCATAGATTTTGACGATTTTCTCAGTAGACTTTGTATTATTATTTATAAAATATCTTACGAAATTTATCGGTTTTAGTTGTTCAAATAAAGGAGTTTTACAGTAAAATCCCATATCTGAACAATCAGATGTATGGAAGATATATGTTTTAGTCATCCGATCCTTGTTATTTTCACTGTAAGTATTCTGTTAATAATGAGTGAAAATGGTGCGAAATTTCATGTTCCTAGCTGCATAAATGCAGGAGTTATGATAAAAGACCTCATATCTGAACAATCAGTTGTATGGGGCTGCAGGTTATAGTGACCCGATCTTTGTTATTTTCACTGTAAGTCTTCTGTTGATAATGAGTGAAAACAGCGCGAAATTTCGTGGTCCTAGCTACATAAATGGATGAATTATAACGAAAAATCTCATATGAACAATCAGTTGTATGGGAGCTATAGGTTATAGTTATCCGATCTTTTTAATTTTCACTATTTCAAATCGGTGCGATTTACAGAATCTTTTTCGGAGGATTTACAACAAAGAGTGAAAAATTTGGCACTAAATCGATGGATATAACGTAAATGATGTGTTTCCAGCAGTTTCCATTTGAAATATTTATTACTTTGAATACAAATATACAACAATACTTTGCAAACCGCACCGATTTGAGATCGCACGATGTGCATAGCATGCCTAATAATACACTTTATATGAAAATTAATAGTTGAAATCGCGAAGAGTAACAGGAAAAACGTGCCACTATTACACTTCACGCAAAAAAACTAAGTGGGCAAAATTAGCAAGAAAATACCACAAAATCTAAAAACCCGTGCTGCAACAAGCTGACTAGAGAAGCGACTGCCATCTTCGTATACAATGCTCAACAGTGATCAGGCATCAAATATTGCTTTTTCTGCTCTCTGTCTTTGTCAAGGTTGGCGTTATATTTGAAAATGACAAATCCTGCTTTTGTCAAATCCTCCTCGCTCTACCCTATTATTTTCATGAAAAAATCTTTTAATTGCAGATAAGGTAAAAAAACGTAATACAAAGCCTCAACAGTTTGAAATCATTAGGGCTGTTCAGTATCTTGTGCATATGCTCTTGCACTTGCATATTCGTTGCATTTGTAAATTCACAATAATAAAATACATACGGTTGCCATGGCAGCAAGCACAAAATTGGCAAATGCAATTCCTATTGCCAATCCAGGACCTCCTGAATAGCTTGAATAGTTGAAAAGAAAATGTGTCTGGTACAATATTTTAAGACATTAAAAATTAAATTAAATCAGTGTGGTCCTATCACAAACTCATAATGGTCGAATAGAACAATATAAAAATTTAAATGCAGTTCCATTCGTTTTTTTTTTATAATTGGAGCAAAACGTTTGTAGATATTAGATTATTAAAATAAAATTAATGTTTTTGAACACTCCTGGACCCAATTATTTAATTACAGATGCTAATTTTTGTACATATTCTTATCGCAGAGAATAAATATACATAATTTATTTAACCATCTGGGACTGCTCTTGGTTGCACTCAGTGCGTCCCTTAAGCTTTATCTTCGTCCGGACATAACGCCACTAGACATGTTGGTTTAATTATTAATTTCATACATTTCTTTTCTAAATAAAATTAAATTATATCAGTTGTTATTTTCAAACACACAACTTAATGTAATTTTTCATGTTTTGATACAATTTTATTCCAGCATTCTCTTTTGCGCATTACATGCGGCAAAAGGTGCTTCTTACCTTTTTCGAATATTTCCTAAAGTTCATTCGAACGAACTATAGAGTACGAGTGTATGTTCGATTCGAATTTTGCTTTCGAAAATAATTACTTTTTGATTCGACTTACAGAGTAAGGGACCTGGTTGATAGTTTGACTAAGGCCCACACCAAAATCAACGTGGCTGCTTCGGGGTGATTTTCTCTGGTAAACTATTTTCAAAACAGTTTATTCGAGTTTCGAGATTTTTTTTTTAATATCTTACATTCCTACTTTCGGAGGTCTGATAGGCCTTCAGTAATTTTGGGATATCTGTTTATTTTATTTATTACATTTACTTTAAATTTGCTGGTAATATTTTCGGGACACTATTTGCAGAAAATAAAAACTAAAACAAATGTTTAGGCTTAGAACCTTCTTCAATAAAAATAAACCTCGAAAAACAAATCCACCACGGTAAAACATCCAATCGGGGCCAAAAGCTAGTTTTAAATAATACGTTAAAGCAACGAAGTTACTTATTTCTGCTAATTTTATTGTTAATAGATTAACGGAGGACATCGCAGTATTTGCCAGTTCAGTAGCGCATTTATATAGTAGTGTGACCAAGCCTTGCTTCGATTTGATGCTTATTGGTATTGCTTTAATGCGGTCCACACAAAAAATGAAAGCCAACATTTTTTCAGGTAGCAACGATATTCATTTGTACTTTTAATCTTTTCTTATTGAAGTATTTTTGTGTTTTATTCCAAAAGGCCCAACACTAGCTGTTGCCGTGATATCCTTAACAGCGCATATAATGCGAGTGGTTTCCCCAAAATTCGGTCAGCTCGTTGCGGAGGAAGCCAATCGCTATGGCTATTTACGGCATATACATTCTCGAATTATTACGAATTCTGAAGAAATTGCATTTTACGGAGGTCACAAGGTAAGTTCTTAAATAATTTAATTTTTTTAAGATTGCATTTTTTCTGGGCTGTGAAAATATCAGAAGCTGCAGATAAAAGCTGTGTTTAGATACTGGTGGATAGTTCTGCGTATACGCATGCAGATGAAGTTTTTGATCGCCTTTCAACTCACGACTTCCGGTCTTTACACTAAGTATCCTCTGGCTAGCAACCGAACATCCTTTCGGAAGCGAGCTAATTGTGAGTATGTAGGGTCTTTGGTATAAGATATTTTCTTCTACAACTTTGGATTTATATTAATTCGAGTATATTCAAAAATACCTCATATTTACATTTTTGAAGCTATAACATGCAATTTTTGCGACTGCTCGCAACACTGCGCCACCGATTTCTATCGTTTACCTCAGTTGACGAAATTTGCATCAAAGCGAGATTCTTCTACATCTCGCTCATTTGCACCCACGCTCTACGGAGCGCACATAGCACATACAAACGCGGTTCCCGTCACGATATTAAAATACTGTTCAGCGATTTCAACTCCAGGGTGGGCAAAGAAGAAATATTTGGCCCCACCGTCAGAAAATGCAGCCTCTACGACGAAACTTTCGATAAAGGACTGAGGCTGATCAAATTCGCCGGGCTCGAAACATGGTAATATACAGTACTATGTTCCGGCATAAAAGCATCGTATAGCTGCGTGGATGTTCCCATATGGTAAAACAAAAAAACCAAATCGATCATGTTGTAGGAGATGGTAGTCATGTTTCAAGTGTTTTAGACGTACGTAAACGCCGAGGGCCAAACATCGACTCAAACCACTGTCTTTTTGCAGCCAAGATAAGCACACGCCTTTGTGCAGAAAAAGATGTGTGTACAGCGGCACAAGGAAAGCCCAAGATTGAAAAGTTGTAATCAAAACAGACAGCCAGCGTCTTCGCCACTCGACTCTAACTTGCTAGCCAGAATGGTGAGGCTGTGGTATGTAGTAAGAGCTGTCAAAAGTAAAAATATTCTAAATGCTCCAAACTGCCCACAATATGTAGCTGTGGTTGTGGTGTTTTATTGCTGATGTAGCTAGCGAAATAGCTTGTAGCTAGCGAAATACTTGTGGCGAGAAGTGGAACCACATTTCCCGCTTTTTGCGTACCGCCGAATGAAAAGAAAACATGCCGCCCACAAGGCTACGCTGCGATCGGGCGCAACGCGAGCTTTTTGCCGAAATACGCGAGATTCAAGAACTTGAAATACTGAGCGGCAGCCAAAACGTTAAAAAATTGTATCTGAAAGTTGGGCAACTTCGGGAAGGTTTAAAGACCAGAGAATTTCTCTAAGAACAAACATGATGACCTACTGACCGATATACATAGCGTGCTTAAATTGTGGAGGGAACACTTTTCCACCCTATTGAATGGTAGCATTCCCACCGCCGGACATTGACGAGGCACGAATAGCTATTACGCGGCTGAAAAACAACAAGCCAGCTGAGCTATTCAAGTGCGGATGCGAAGAGTTGATAAGGTACATACACAAACTCTTATGTACAATATAGTCGGGCGAACGCTTGCCCGTCGACTGGAGTTTTGTACGGCTTTGCCGCGCCACCCCAATTACGTATTTCGCTATCATTCGTAATTCGCACTCCAGTTACCCTTCGATTACGTAATTCGCCATACAAAATTTTGAGAGCGAATTACCTCATTTGTTGGTAACTCAGATCCTATTACCATGCTATTACAAATTGCTGCCGTCTCTAACTTTAATAGGAAATTTATCGAAACTAGTTCACAAATCATAACTGGCACTTTGTCTGAGAACTAAAAGTAAAGTTAATAAAAGTATACATCACCAATTTAATAGAGAAATTTATATATTTTTAGCAAAAACTTACATTTTGCATAAATTTTGTAGCGAGGAAAAAAAAAAAACAGAGACAGAGAACTGTCAAAACGAATTAAGAATGTGCTCGTGTGAATGGGGTAATTCGCTATCGTAATTGGGGGAGGAACAAAGTAAATCACTCTGCCCAATCCACAAGAAAGGTCACCACGCCATGCGTACCAACTATTGCGGGATCAGCCTTTTAAGCATAGGTTACAAGATCTTATCGAGCGTATTATGTGAAAGACTGAAGCCCACCGTCCACGAACTGAGTGGGCCGTATCAGTGCGGCTTTAGACCTGGTAAATCCACCATATACCACCTGGTCACCTTACGCCACTCACCATCTGTTTGTCGCTTTCGATAGCACATAAAGTAGCTGCTACCCCGCGAAACTGATACGGCTGTGTAAAATTACGCTTAGCAATACCATCAGCTCCGTCAGAATTGCGAAGGACCTTTCCGAGTCGCTTAATACTAGGGATGTGCCGGGTATCCGGTAGATATACCGAATCCGGCTTATCCGGCCTATTTTCTGTTTTCCGACTATCTGGCCGGATACTGGTTAAAGTCCAGCCGGATTTCCGGATCTCGATTATAGAAGATTCTATTTAGAAATCTAGTTCAGAATTTTTCTTTTAATTTTCATAATCAAATTTAATAGTATCTTATTAATTATTAGATTTAAAAATTTACATATTTTTCATTATAAAAATAAGCATTTACGCATTACCGGTAAAGAACCTATTTCTATTTTCAACATAAATGCTACCCGATGCACTAAACACTATTTTTGAGTTCACTGAGGAAGGTGGTTCGCAGAGGTACTTCATTGCCAGTGTAAACAAATTTGGAAATTCTTTGCGAACATAATAATAATAAATTGTTGCTTACGTATTTGTTAGTGTTCTCCTCCGATTTGTGGCGTGCGCATTGATGTTATCACACAAGGGAGGAACCTACAGTTTTACGCCGACTCCGAACGGCGATTGTATTTTTATGAGAAGCTATTTTCATGGCAGAAATACACTCGGAGGTTTGTAGAAAACCTGTTTTTGTTTTTTTTTTATGTTGGGTTGAACCGGGCTTGAACCCAGGCTTACCTCTACACCACAGCGGCCGTCTATGATTCCACCAAATGAAAGGATCTTCTTCTCTGTGTATAAGGGGTACCTGTAAATATTTCTCAATTTCTTCATCGTTTGGCTACCCACATCACTACTGGAATCAGTATCAGAGCCGTTGGCGATTTCCTCAAAGCGTTGCGGTCTCGCTCTTCAATAGAAACTTTCACTGGAATTAAGTCTGGTTCATATGATTCAGCAGGTTTCTCCATGCTAACTGATTTACGGCTCTTATTATAAGTTTCTTCCACACGCTTTCCGGGCTATTTCGGTAATTAAAGCGTAAAAATAAGTTACAAGTGTCAAAAATGTGTCAACCCGGGCCAGAAGTACCCAGAGTGTGAGGAACGCAAAAAAACACTTCGTGCCCGAAATCAACAAATAAGTGCTAAACAATAATTTTATGTGTATTTATCTTATATAGCTAATAAAATTAACAAATACCTACATTTCTGAACCTTTAGTGCTATTTTCCAATTTTGTATTTAACAAAATTTACTATCGGATGTAAACAAACAACATTATTTCAAATTGGCCTTTTGAACATTTCTGCCCGTAAAAAAAGTCCGGACTGTTTCGGGACGAAGAAGAAGACATTTACGATCCAAAAGTGGAAGGTATTCGCTGTCTATTACCCATTGTTCTAGCGTGAGGAACGCTTTCTGGGCTGTTTTGGGTACCCGCAGGTACCCGCGGGCTCGTGTGTAACAAACCTTATGAGTTGCACTCGATTTTCGATCTTCGCTCGTTATCGAAGTTCGAATGTGAAATTCGTATTATGAGCTATGCAACCGTGTCGAAATTTTCGTTGAGTATCGAATTTTCTGTCGAATAGAATTTTGCTTTCGATGCTGTAGCGAACTGTTAGAAAATTGTGAAAAATGTTTGCGTCTATTTTATTGCTTTTTGGCGTCTAGACACCAATTTTTATTAAAATCATGCAGGTCTAACGACGTGAATACCGTGAATACGAAACACAAGCTCGAAAGTCTGGTTGCACTCATGAAAAAATCCCAATACTCATTCGGCACATTTCTGAAAACAAAAGCGTAGAGCTGTTGATAGTTTTGAAATATTTTATATTTATCTTTATCTTTATCTTTATCTTTATCTTTATCTTTATCTTTATC